AAAGGAATAAATAGCCGTTAGATACTTGGTAATCAAATCATAAGTTCCATGAGCCTAAATGTAAGACGAATTATGTCACTATAACAGCGTCGGACCCACCTTAAAATCTTTAGCCACCATGGCGGTTAAGCTGTAACTTTAAGAGGCATGTTAAGAGGCCATATAAAGGGAAATTTTGAAAGTAGAAAAGGAGGACAGACTCCAATAATTAACTAGCAAGTTTAGCTTAGGAAACCGCCAAGCTTTCCCAAAAGGTTAGGAACGAATATTTATTTTATTAAAAAGCCAAAGCTCATAGTTACAGTAAGGTGGTCATCCCACAAGTAAAGGCAAAGCCCAATTTCAACACTGGAGTCGGCCCTTACCTAATCAAAGAAAGCACGAACATGCATAATCGACGAAAATAAATAAAACGAAAAACAAGGAGTGATCACTCAAACTTAACTACAGAACTTAGGGAGGAATGGCTTAATACACTCCTACGGAGCAAAATTAAACGGATGTTTCCATCAACAAGTCTTTCAGCCAACACTTACTATTTACAAATTCATACCCAACAAAAGGTACGAAGAAAAAGAAATTTAGAACCTAAGGAATGTGGAAATTTCTAACATTGTACGAAAGTGTAAGTGAATTGTATGAAAGTGATAGTACGTGATAGTGCAGCTAAAACCGCTTGGATAATTAAATAGCATAAATCAACATGGAAGTATGAAGCAACATGCTGAGGTGAAAATCAATATAAACTTATAAACTCTACGAATATCTGTGGTTGACAGAATAAACTTTAGAGAAGAGCAATTGTCCTGCCTTAGGAGAGGGCGAGACGGGTTTGAAATATCAAAGCTTAAGCGTTCCAATAAGCGTGGGCTATGTTACCTCTTTAAGTTTTGTAAAGACTGCAATATTTTGATTTATACTGTAATGTAGCGAAACGACAGCTCTAGTTAATTACTCGCTATAAATGTTATGACCTATAGTATGGAAATGACCCTAGTCGTTTTCATATTATTTGTGCATACATTTTTATCTGTATGAGGAGTAATTTAGTTGCGACAGAGGAGGAATAAGTGTTAGGTTGCGGGAGAATGATTTAATTTGAATTAGGACTTGAAAAGTTTGAACACCTATCACTTATTCTCGTAAACTATGTTGAATTCCTTCTGAATTCGATGATTTATCACGAAGAAAGCTTTCTCTCAGTAACATAAATTTTTCTGAACCAAATATACAGCTGCAGCGTAGAGTGCGCAAATCTATGGTTGTTCTCATTTGTAATTTTATTTTTCGTTTGATGCTGTTGGGGCGCGTATCCAGGGTACTTATCGGGTAGGGATATTACATGCACCCGAGAATTAATTCTTAGTGGGAGAAAAGCGCGGCATTGCAGTACTGTGATAAATATAAGCAAGTTATGAAATTTGAATTGATTTTTAATTTTGTACGTTACATTCTATTTAATAGGAAAATAAATTTGATTCGTGTATAAAACTGGGGTTTCTGTTATACACCAAAATTACGAGTTTCAAAGAAATGTTGTTTTTTATTCGTTAGTTCTCGAATGATCAGGATCATGGTATCCAGAATGACAAAAATTTTTAATGAAGGGATACAAGTTATCAGAATTTTCAAATTACAGAGAATATCTGTCCCAGGCCACGCCAGCCGGTCAATATTATGATATTAAAATTATCATGAATCCCAATATTATTATATAACACAACTTGCTTGATAAACTGTGGTAGACCAAGCTCGATTATCCCTGCAAGTTTCGAATCTTATTACCCAATATCCCCAAAAAATAACACAAATGTTTATTAACTAAAGAGAAACGAAATAAAATTTTACCAGAACACACAACTCCCAGTTCACCCAATCCTTCCCTCCCAGTATTGCAATGCCTCGCTATTCTCCCACTGAGAATACATTTTCAGGTCCAGGCAATATCCCGGCACGATAAGTATCCTGGATACGCGCCCCAACTGCCCCTATATATTTGTGGTGCCATAAGTATCCTGGATACGCGCCGCAACAGCCCTATATATGTTATGGCGCCAGGCTTACAAAACAAATGAACTTTTCAAAAAATATATTATTTATAATATTATTGTTATTTATAATTGTTGTTTCAGCCAACGGAACCAATAAACATAGGATGATCCAGGAGAGGTTAACAAGGAAGCGCGTTTATTTTTAGAAGAGCGCAGCAGTTGTTCAGGAGAGGGAACTTGTACACATGGCTGCAGACGTTCATGTGGCTGCAGACGTTCATGTGGCTGCAGGCGTTCATGTGGCTGCAGACGTTCATGTGGCTGCAGGCGTTCATGTGGCTGCAGACGTTCATGTGGCTGCAGGCGTTCATGTGGCTGCAG